CCAAGCCCTTTCTGCAGATAAACAATTCAACACCCGTGGAAGGCATGCCAGTTGTGATGATCTGCACAGTGAAAGAAGGGACACCTCCTATCGCTTATTCTTGGCAGCGCTACACTAACCGAGATGGCATGGTAGTTCTTGCTGAAGCAGGGACACATCTCTTAAACCTCACCTCAGCAAACCGGACATACATGGGTTGGTACACCTGCACAGCCCAAAATGAGGTCAACAGCCAAACCAGCGATGGGATGTACCTTGACGTTATCTGTAAGCAACTGGTCAATAAGGCCAATTTTTCTATTTTGGGGAAACTTTGTGTGCAGCCAATTAGAGATTAATCTTGCCAGGTGTGGACCATGAAATAAAATAGATGATTCCTAGTGAAGCAGATTAGATCAGACTTTCCTATCTGGTCTACTTCTGATGTATTGACTTGATTGAAGCACACCAGAAGCACACCAGACTGGGGAGATCTATCCTCAGATGCTCAGCATCTCATCAACAGAAGTGCCTTCTTCAGATTGCATTCTATTAACTAGTTTAATCTTCCATAGATGGTCCAGATGAGCCAGTGATCAGCATAGAACCATTTGCAATTAACCAACATGGCTTCTCAGCCAATGAACAAGAAGAGGTGATTATGACATGCCTGGCTCCTTCCAATCCTCCCAGCCACTACATTTGGTTCTACAACAGCTCTCAAGTCTACTCTGGACAGAAGTATGTGATAGCCAGAATTTCACGGACACAAACAGGCATCTATACTTGCTTAGCTCAGAATATGCACCTAAATACTCGGACCCAGGCCACTATTATCTTGACTGTCTATTGTAAGTTACCTTTACCTGTTTTTCCAGGCATGAGGTTTTAGCATGTTCTGTTGCTTCTTATCTCTCTATCTTCTAGATTTTTTAAAAAAATTCACTATTCTAAACATCACCATCCTGGCACAGCTGAAAAGATGCCAAAAGACAAATGTCAACATAATCTGGGTGTAAAATATGAGTTCCAAAGAAGGTGGTGATTGCCTCTTCTACCATGGTTACCAATGCTGGTGGTTTCTGTAGTAATATTTTAGCTTCCCTTCTGAGAGAATAATTAACAGTTCTTGCTCTGTGCCCTGATTTTCATTGTGTTTTGTGTCAACAGAGTCTGTTCTTTCTGGTGAAATTCTTCAAATTCTCTCTCTTTTTTTGCAAAAGAGAAATAAAATTAAAGGACTCCATGGATTTCTGAATGGAATAATCAGGTAGAAGGAGGCCAACTTGCTAAAAGTATTAATAGAACAGGAAAGTAATCATTGGTCAATGTTGCTTTTGTGTCTTGCAGCAGAAAGCAGGCAGATGTTTTTCAGGTAGATCAAAGCAGGCCTTTTGATTGATGTTTGTTGTCTGTGGACCATTGAAATATATGTTTGGTAACAACATTGACCAAATTAACCTAGCGAATTTCAAAACAACACCTCAAAGACCAACCTGCAAGATCCTTAGATTCCCTGAAATAACGCAGAGCCTTCCAACTTCTGTACTATCATCTTCACATGATGCAGTTTTATCTGGATGGTACAGAATTTGAGCTGTGGGGTGTGTGGGAGAAAGTCATTTTCCTAATATTTCTTTGCAAAATAAATAAATGCACAAATAAAATCATCCTCATATATAGGAAATGATCTTATCTGAGACCAGAGCTAGCATTTCCATAGAACTTTATTTCATTGAAGATATTGACTCAGCACCCAGATCTTACAACTTTGTAATGCATTCATGTAATGCCATTGCACCGATTGACCTGCATTCTTACGTTAGAAACAGGTTAAGGTGAATGAGGGGATTTGCAGAGATGGAAAACCAAAGAAATTCAAAGCTTAAGAAAAATATGAGGTTGTCAAAATAGGAAGCCATAAATTATGAGTTTGCCTGTATGACTCTCAGCTCCATGGTTTAGTGAAACTGCCAATGGAAAAGTGTAAGAGTGAGGGCAATAGTCCCTTTCCTTCAGCTTCTTTTCCCACCAAGGAATGTCTGCAAGCAGGCAGTAGCCAACTTTTTTTTTTTCACAGCAAGGATTCTCGGCTTCTTCTAGCCATTTGAGACCAGTTCTGTCATCAAAGCTTTCCCCGGTATGCGAATGCAAAGAATAGGCAAATATCTGCTATATCTCCTGCTCCTGGCCAAGAAGTCATGAGATTCTGAGAGATTCTGAGTGCATAAACTGTTGGTCAACTTTGGGTAGAAGTTGGATTGCAAGAGCAATGATTTGGGTGGGCATGGAGAAGATGGACACAAACACCTTGTGGCTCAAACAAGCTTTTGTGTCTAATCCCAAAGCAGCAGGGATGGGACCTTGCTCTTCGCCACCGTCACCTTTTGGATAATGATTTCCTCCATGGATGTTTCTGGCCCCAGTAATTCCTCGTTGCTGTTGATATGATGTTTACCCTATGCACAGATCTGCCCAAGGGACAGCTCCACTGCATGTCGCTGCCTGCCTCCAATTTCCAAGACCTTGCTCTGCATTGTTTATGGCCAGGGGGATTCCCTTCAGTGCACTTGCGGTGGGTAAAATCGAGGGCAGAAGAAACCGACACGGGAAGCTTCTCCAGAGCTGTTCAAATCCATCAGGGTGCAAATGTTCTCAATGGGACTTCCTATATCTGCTTGGCTTCCCATCCAGCACTGAGAAAGGATGCCGTTTGCAGGATCACTGTCTGTGAGTACCAACCTCTTGCTATTCTCGGAGACAGATGTTGAGGCGGGTCCCAAAAGTTGATGCTAAAATACCAATTATGCTACAGCAACAATTCATGATTAATTAAACTTCCCTTTCTTTTCTTTTAATGAAATGCAATTATAGGGATATAGAACCCTGTGTAATTAGGATGGTTATAACCCCCTTATGCAAATTGTGGAAGGCACTTTTATATTCAGGCCTAAATTTTCTTCCTTCCTTCCTTCCTTCCTTCCTTCCTTCCTTCCTTCCTTCCTTCCTTCCTTCCTTCCTTCCCTCCCTCCCTCCCTCCCTCTTCTCTTCCTCCCTCTCTCCCTCCCTCCTTCCTTCCTTCCTGATATTTCACATATCTGAATGCCAACCCCCCTCAAAGTGGGGCTCTTTAAAGTTAAATCCCTAAAGAAAGTCATAATTCCTGTAAATCATTTCATTATTAGTTATGATGATAATTCTAGTTCACTAGCATAATTTATAATAATAAGCCCTAATTGTCTGTCTCACTGTCATAAATTATAATAATCTGTTGTACTCATCTTTATGATAATTTATGAGGCTCATTTACTTACGAAAAGTTATCCAGCTAATAACCATTATTAGGAATCCTAGGAAGTTCGCAAAGGCAAGTACGCACCTCTGCATTCTTACCAATTTATTCCAGGGGTTCCAAAAGGGAGCCTGACCTGCAGTGTGGTAGCCACCAAATTGAATGAATTCCTCATGTTGACCTGTGACTGGCCAGGTGGAGAACCACAGGTGACCCTCTGGTGGAGAGACTGGAGGCATCATGTGCTGGGAAACATGAGACCATCGCACCATGTTTTTGTCATGAAGCCCAATGCCACTCTTGGAGGCAAGGCGTTCACCTGCACAGCAGCTCACCCTCTGTGGGCCAGAACTGCTGAGTGCCACGTTCGGCTGGGTAAGCAGATAAAACTGGGTCAAGAAAAAAAGATAATAGGGTCAAGGGAGGGTTGACTGGCTCATCAGAGTGTGAAAGACACTGTTTACCTGTCCGGAGCTGATCCCTTCCTCCCTGTCTCTTTATTCAGTTACAAACAAATCATGTCATGGAATTGTCCTCTGGTGCTGTAGTTGGCCTTCCCAGTGAAGAAGGAAGAGCTGCCTTAGATCTTGGGCTCAATCCAAGATATCCTCCAATTTTACATGGTCAGGAAGGTAATAGTGGAGAAGCCTGTTCCTGAGAATTTAGAGGATTGTTGCAAAGCAGAAAAAAAAATCCAGAGCAACTAAACTTTTGGGGCTGATCAGACATTTTGAGAAGATGTAGAACTGCTTTTGCACTAGGGCTGCCACTGTGGGCAATGCTGCTCATTTACTAGCATGCTAATGTATGAGGTTGTTCCCAACCTCTTTCTTTAGACAGCCCACCTGAATGTTTTGTACCATCTCAGTTTATTTATTTATTGTTGCCTGTTGGAAAGGCAGATGTGCTTCAGGCAAAGCTTCCATCTGGATGTTGAAGGCCCAGAGCCTTGGTTGGGCGAAGGGAAAGATCACAACCTGGTTACTGCTCTCCTTCAAGCTGATGATTTTGAGAGTTTCTTTGCTTTGTTTTATGCGCAGAAACCCCCAGGATTATGGTACAGCGGTCCCAGGTTTCGTTGTTTGAAGGCAGCGAGGCCCAGCTGGCCTGCTTCCTCCAAGGTGCCTATTTGGGCTCTGAAGTCTTTTGGTACAATAATAAGAACCAGCCCATTACAGCAAGCACTAGGAAATACCACCTGCAGCAGGAAAATACTTGGTTTAATTTGACCCTCCAGGACACAGATTGGATACGGGATAGTGGCACCTACCGATGTGCTGCCATCAACGCTGTGGGCAATGCCTCTGCCACCGTCATCCTCCAGGTAAAAAGTAAGTTGAATAACAGAATGACAGAGTTGGAAGGGAGCTTGGAGGGCTTCTAGCCCACCCCCCTGCTCATTTCAAACTATACCGTTCCAGACAAATGGTTGTCCAATTTCTTCTTAAAAACCTCCAGTTCTGGAGCACCTGCAACTTGGAGACAAGTCGTTCCACTGATTAATTGTTCCTGTTAGGCAATTTCTCCTTAATTCTAGGTTGCTTCTCTCCTTGATTAGTTTCCATCCATTGCTTCTTGATGTGTACCACAAAACTTCTTTTGACCCCCCAAACCCGGGAAGCAGAATTCCACGAGGTGGGAATACTGTGTCCACGCTTGCCCTACAATTCCTCCAAGTTTTCTTCCCCTGCTTTTATGACTTCTTCTTAGGATTTCAATTCTTTTTCTACAGTAATTTCTGTCGATGATTGTACTTTATTGCCATGCGGCAGAGGGAGATCCTGGCATTTGTTTTCCCTCTGTTATGCCCTTGCTTCCCAAACTGAACATGCCCCGTGGACGAGGGGAGGTCTTCTAAGAACGCTAATTCGCAAACAAGCAACAATTATACGCCTTTTCTTTTCTTTGCAGAATACCCCAACCCGCCCAATGTGACCATCAGCAGACTGATGTACACTCGCCCCCGTACAGAGGTGGAACTGGAATGGGAAACTCGAGGCTCAGGAAACCTGACTGGCTTTGTAGTCCAGAGAAGAGAAGCAAAAAAGACCGGCCCAAAGCAGATGGCCATCAGCTGGGAAACAGTGGCCAACAACATTGACCCTGATGTCCGTGGCCGAAAACTGGGCGGCCTGGATCCTGCAGTGGTCTATTTTTTCCGGATCCTTGCAGTCAACCACCGCACCACTGGGTATCCCTCTGAAATGAAGACCCCAGGTGCATTCGAGTAGCTACCTATACTGCTTACTTTCAGACACGTATGGAAAACCAGCTGTTTTGGAAGGTGTTTTTCTAAAGGAAGAGATGGCAGTTGAGCATTTAGATGTGTGGCTCCAGCCTGGTCCTTTCTGCATGGAGGAGATAGTGGACTTCATTGGGGATGCCAGAAAGAACAGCAGGTTGTGTATACGTGCAATCTATATGTCCACCTCTTTTTCTATGAGACCTTATGAGGGAGTATATTGTAATTATGGTTAATCATAATAAATTACAATAATGAGTTGGATAATCAGGACTACTTATGATAAATTATGACAAGGGGCATGATTGGGGCTAATTATAATAAATTGTAGTCCCACCTTAGGGATGAAAGTCAGCTAGGTGACTTTGGGCCAATCACCAGGAGACAGTGAGTTCTAGTCCCACTTTAGCCATAAAAGCCAGCTGGGTAATTTTGGGCCAGTCACTCTCAGCCCAACTCACTTCACAGGGTTGTTATTGTGGGGAAAACAGCAGGAGGAAGGAATGTTGTGTTGTTTGTCTCCTTGAATTATTTATAAAAATAACAAAGGTGGGGAATAAATAAACAAAATGATTAGCAAGACCTTGTCGCTTCTCCTTGTCAAAGCCTGGGCTGTCGCAGTTCTTGGAAACCCTCTTCCTGAATAGATAAGGTAGTTCTGAGCTAACTAGGAAAATAAGGCTGACTTGATCAAAGGCAACATTCCATATTCAGTCCAGAGTGCTCTTCAATTTGAAACAACTATAAAACAATTACTACTATAAGATGGTGATGGTGATAGCAGTGGCGCTAGATAGAATGACCAGAAAGAACCATGTCTGCCATTGCTTCTTCCAGAACATCTGTTTTGAGTGTCTCTTTGCCTTCTAGTGTGCTCCTTTACCTCTGCATTTGGTGTGCCTCAGCTACTCCTCTGTCATCTTGCATGAGATCTGCAGACCTCAGTCATGTAGGTGGTTGCACACCAGTCTCAAGGTTGTGATCAGGATGGGAAGAGATGGACTTTGACAGGATTTTCATCTCTGTGTGACATCACTTCTTAACTGCATGATGAAGTTCATCTTTCCTGCTCTACATTGTTCTTCTTTTTGGGGGGAAATGTACTTCCCCTTCTTGGAATGTGCTACTGGGCTCCTTACAAAGCACTCACCAGGCTTGCTCTCCTAGTTGTGGTGAAAAATCCCTGCCCATGTTGACCGATTTGTGTTCTTGCTATAAGACTGGCCAAATATAAAGAAAAGAAAGGTCCTTATGCAGCAGAAAAGACCTAGCCTCTTGATGAGATGGGTGTTAAAGTCTGCGTCTTCTTATCTTACTGTGAATAAATAAGCACATGGGAACCCTGATTTATGAAGGGTACCCATTTCCTAGAGCAGGGGTTTGCAACCTGCGGCTCTGGAGCCACGTGTGGCTCTTTTGGCCCTCTGCTGCGGCTTCCTGTTGGCTGATCCACCACTGTCTGACCCCACCCTCCCCTCCCTGTCACTCTTCGCCTGGCCTGAGAAGGTAAGGATGATGGTGGGGGATGGAGACTTGCTCCATATTCCAGACCAGGAGGTGACTGGGCGGGAATGAGTGACGTTGAGTTGCCCACGTCTACCCAATCACACCAGTTGTTAAATTATTGGCTCCCAGGGTTTCTGTACTGTGGGAAATGGGCCCAAATGGCTCTTTGAGTGTTTAAGGTTGCAGACCCCTCTCCTACAGGGGGAAAAATACAAAACTCAGTTTGTAATGGCGTAGAAACTCCAGTCGCCCTGAACACTGTATGTAAGACAATTAGCAGGTTGCACCCATGCCATTATGACCTGGTTGGAAGATATCAGGAATGTCACAGCAATATTGCCTATGCTTGATGTGGCATTTCCTTCCGTGGCAAAAAGATCTGTCCTGCAGAAGCAGGGTTTGGTCAGGCAGCACAAGAGCAAAATCGCCTGTTTTTCTGACCTCAGTTACCTTGGTGATCCTGAGCGAACGCTGCCGTATTCAAACAAAGATGGCCACCTCATCCTTTCTCCTCATAAGGGCAGCAGCTGTTGCAACAAGCAAGGCTGAGCGAGGTTTGGGGAGAGCCTTTGGAAAGTGCAAAGCAAAATGAAATGCTCAGGAAAAACAAGCAAAGTCTTCTCTTGGAAAAACGGAGACGATTGGAAACAGATGCGGGATGGAAGATCGCTCGGAGACCCGAAAGGCCAGAAAAGAGTTTGTGTAAGGCCTCATTGAGGGTTTCCTTTGGCAGAGAAAGAATCGTCCCATGATGCAGAGTTGCTGAGGGCCAGAAACGACTTGTTAACACGAGAGATCCGTAATTGGATCTCTTGATATTTTAAGGAAATAACGATCTTTAAAATTAGCTGCAGGCAGAAGAGGAGAACAATTTAATCAGGACAGAGACCCTTGCTTAACCCTGTTCCCTTTGACATTGCCCCAAACCGCTTCCTCTCTTAAAAGCTTTAATCTCCTTGCCCAGAAATGGATGGTGTGTTTGTGTGTGTGTTGGGGGGGGGGGGGGGGGGGGGGGGGGAGAGAGAGATGTCCTACTGATCAGGTGCCTTGATAATCGTTTGCCTACAGGGCTTCTCAATTCAGACAATCACAACCATCACACCTAGCAAAGATGGTGTCCAAGGCAGACTAAACGTAGGGCTATTTCAGCAAACCCAAAGTAATGTTTATCCTATACAATCGTTTACTACGGAAATTCCCAGGAGAAATGACATTTCTTTATGCTTGAAGGTGAAGGAAAGGAACTAACATAAAAAAAAAAACATGCTAAAATTTGGCAAACACACCAGGAAGCTATTGCAGAAAGAATAATCCCACGGAGAGTTTCTTGGTGCCGGCAAAGAACCCTATCCTAACCGAACTGTATAATTTTAATTTTTTTAAAATAAATTAAGGGCCAGCTGCGGTGCTGGCATGCTGAAAAGCGGATACTCATTTCCAAGGCGGCTCCTGAGTCTGACATGATTCCTATAAGTTTCTTAGAATATAAAAATGGGAGCTGTTGGTAACCCCTGGAGCTTTGTTCAGAAGTGTGTATATCTGAAAATCAAAGATGCTGAAGTATTAGAAGACACTGTTGACTCAGTGATGGGTTTGCCTTCTGATAAATAAATATCCTCCAATTAATCCACCTTGGCAGACATTTTATAAACAACAGGCTCATCGAGCTCAAACTATTGCTTCCAGAACCTTCTTCTTAAAGAATGAAGCAGATGTACTCAGCGTCTGTAAACTTCTAGCCAGATGGTGGATTTGATGAGCTGAAAATGAACCCATCTGGAAATCACTGGGCAAGAGAAGGAGGGGCTAAAATAACAGAAAGCCCATCTGGCACATGATTCTCCAAAGCCTTGCAGATTTGGTCCTGGTAGAACTCCACTGCCTTCATCTCATGCTTCTTCTCTCTTGCAGCTGACCCTCCTTTCAATGCATATCCTGTGGTGATCGGGGCTGCTGTGGCAGGAATGGTTGTGGCAACAGTCATCTCTCTCATAGTTTTCCAATACATCCTTCGGAACTGGGAGAATAATCCAAGTGAGTGGTAGTTGCTGTGAGGGCAATCAGCAGCTCCGTTATGGGACTTTGGAAATCCTTCCCTAAGTTTTTTCCAAGGACAATCAGTCAGAAATTGTTGAGTCACCCACACATCATTCTGGGAAGTCATTTCAGTGGTTGTCTCCTTACTTTAAGTTCTGCCAGTAGGCTAAAGATTCTGAGATGGCTATGGTTATGTTTCTCTACACGTTAGCAAGGTTTCTGCACTAAAGACCATATGATAAAGCAGCAATAGATAGCAATAGCACCTAGACGTATATACTGCTTCACAATGCTTTACAGCCTTCTCTAAGCAGTTTACAGAATCAGCATATTGCTCTCAACAACCTGGCCCCTCATTTTACTGACCTTGGAAGAATGGAAGGCTGAGTCAATCTTGAGCTGGTCAGAATCGAACTCCTGGCTGTGAGCAGAATTAGCCTGCGATACTGCATTCTAACCACTGTGCCGCCACAGCTCTTGCATTAATATTGAAGAGATCATTAAAGTAATGGAAAATGCATATTTCAATAGGTTGTTGTACCACAGCAGAGAGCCCAATTAAGCAAAAATTGTACTTACCCCTAATGGCCCTAGCAGGAGAGAAATACGATGTTCTGAGATGATGGTTGTGGAACGTAATTGCAAATTCTCCCTAAAGTCCTTGTTAACGTACCCTTGAATAGTTTACAGTTTAGCTGTTCCTTCAGAATAGTTTCTAAAATGGGATTTCTCTTTCTTATCACATAGGGTTACATGACCTGCTCTTCAGAATGTAAGTGACGCCTCCTATTTCCCCCCCTTTTTGTCTCTTATTTTTTCCCCTTGAATTCTTGCTCTTATTCCCTTTCCTTGATCTACATCCAGTAGCTATCTTGGGTTACAATGCTAGCGATCTCCAGACAACACATCTAAAGAAGGCCTGTTTGGGTAAATCTGGTTAATATTTCTATCCATCTATAACAAGCAGAATTTTCTGAGCTGCCTCAAAGTGTGTAGTTTATATTTTCCAGAACTTTATATCATAGTGGATATTAATCTGGCATTGATATTAAAAGAGAGATTTAGATAATTTAGACATGTATATACACACAGGTGTGCTTTACCATTTATTTATTTTAGTCCATTGATATTGCTGCCCAATTCACAAATTATGGGTGGCTCATCTAGGATTAAAAACCAATACATGCAGACGGAATGAAAAACACAAGAAATCATGACACAATCAAAACCAGCCCACAATAATTAAATCACATTCACTACAGATAGGTTTACTGACCACTCTGGCTCACAGCTTGGGGAGGGAAAGCTTGATCTTCAAACCTTTATAAGAAAAGCTTTCTTTCATGTAGTTCTGACAACAGCCGGACTGGTCACCTTTTCCCAATTTTCAAGGTGGTGGCTATAGCAACAGGTGGTGGGGCTGGCAAATGGCCATAGGTGTAATGGAATGTACCAATATCTGGGAAGACAGGGAAAGGGATGCTGCTTAAGGAATGATCAGGTAAAAGGGGAAAGAGTCCACGACTGAGTAACAGGCACAGAAAGAAACTTAGAAAGGATCCCCCTTAACTTATCAGGCAGGAAAAAGTGATGGCGGAACTTTGTACTTTCAGAATTGCAAGATTCTATTGGTGTTGCCTTACAATGACACAGAATTAGCTCACCTGGTTATGTTTTCAGTCTGGTCTGCCTCATAAGGCTGCTTATGGGCCAATGCATCTCTTCTCTTTAGGGCAGGAGCTGAAACTCGTGAACAAATCGAGACTCCAGAGGATGCCGAGATGCCAACAGGAATTAGTGATGCAGCCAATGAACAAGTTGAAGAAGCGAGTGAGCAGGTTGGAGAGACTTCCACAACAACTGGAGAAGCACCAGCAGGTAAACTGGTGATAAATCTCAGAAGGTTATCTTATTTGAATGGATCAATCCAAGAGCAGACCGTGAAATACAGGTGGTCCCTGACTTACAACAGTTCATTTAGTTACTGTTCAAAGTTCACGGCACTGAAAAAAAGTGACTTAAGTGTAAGGGTCTCCCCTTCAAACGATAAGAATAACAGCACGGGCTTCAAAACTCTCTCCCCTTCAAACGATAAGAATGAACTTTTGAAAACTGGGTATTTCAAAAGGAATTCTTTATTGAAAAGGAAGTTATCCAGGTGATAGTCAAAGCAGGGTCTAATATGCCTCCAGGCATACAGCATAGATAAAGGGAGTCAGAACCCCTCCCCCTTATTCTGATATGGATTTCCTCAATACAAAGAAGCAACATGTTGATCCCACCCCCTTATTTTCTGAGAGTGTACTTGAGAAAAGTTTCCCAGGAAGTTTCTTTCGGAGCTGGAATTTTTATGGTCCCTTCTCCTCTTGCTATCTCTCCAAGAGGTGACAAGTTTCCAGGCATCTGGGCTCCAGTCCCCAGTTGTATATCATGTCCAAGTTATACAGATTTCAATACAAGACTTAAGATATTAAAGTTACATCAAAAAAGGACTACTTGTGCCAACACCCCCCCCTTCTTCTTCCATTGAAGAATGGGAGATACACGGATCTGACATTCAGATCATTTTTCACACTTATGACCATTGCAGCATCCCCATGGTCATGTGATTTACATTTGGATGTTTGACAACTGATTCATATTTACGACGGTTGCAGTGTCCCTGGGGTCACGGGATCCCTTTTTGTGGCCTTTTGACAAGCAAAGTCAATGGGGAAGCCAGATTCACTTAACATCCGTGTCACTAACTTAACAATTGCAGTGATTCACTTAACAAATGTAGCAAGAAAGGTCGTAAAATGGAGCAAAGCTCACTTCACAAACTTTTCACTTAGCAACATAAATTTTGGGCTCAACTGTGGCCGTAAGTCGACGACTACCTGTATTTCCTTTCCACACTGGAAAAGAACCCTTGAAGGTAAAAAGTTTTGCCGAAGGGTCTTCCTGTTTGCTATATCTTTGGGTATTAGAGGCGGAAATCAAAATTCTGCAAGTAAATGTGGCTTTTGGGGGTAACGCCCAACTCCTTCTTTCCTAAGAGTCTACATCACGCAGGTGTGTCCTTCAAGATATATTTTATGTTCATGAGTCAAAGTTAGGTAGACACCCCATTGGCCCTAAAACATTTTTGTCTATAGGCTCAGTTTCCATACTCAGCTATTCATTTCCCAGTAGCAAATCCATATTTCAAAAAAATAAAATAAAGGAGGGGAAAGAGGCTATTTAGAACTCCATTATTGAAAGAATGTTCAATTTTGCACTGCTGGAAAGCATGCCATTGTTTAAACCGAAAAATAGCTGGCTTATTTTATTTTGGGAAGAGAGAAATACTCAGCTCATCAAAATGCATAGAAATGGTTTCCCTGTTCCTGTAATCAAAGAGATATTTTATACATGGCAGAGATTCATGAGTGTCTTGATTGTTTTCAGATGTCTAGCTTGTCCATTGGTGAAGGTATCAGGCTCCCCTTTTGTCTGGTCATTCATCATCCCCTCTGCCTTTTGTTCTAGAAGACAATGTGCCTTTGAAACACATTGACTAGCAAACAAACCTCCTTATTCTCCGTTGTTGTTGGTGGGCCCTGATCATCTGTTGATGTTGAACATGAACCTGGTAACCATTGAAACAAAGAATGGAAACATCTGGGCTTCAGGATTTCTACTTAGTTATGGCTTCTCTTCCATCAGCTCATAGGCCCTTGTCATATATGCTTTGTTTTCTGCAGAGGCAATTCAGAAGGAAGCTGCGGTGACCTCAGAGGATCCAACAAGGGACCAGGAAGATGTGCCAGCCCCCAGCCCTCCTTCTGAGGATCCAGTTAACGTTACAATCACAGTGACAGCCACCCCATGACTACTAGTAAACCAGACACTTTAGCACTGAAGGTAGGATAGGTTGGTTAAAGATCTCCTTGATCAGCAAAAGAAAGAAAGAAGCACAGGGAACAACTGTGGCGCACTGGAGAACCTGGGAGTGTCATTCCAGTTTTTGTGTTATGCAAGACCTTTCTAAAAAGGACCTCGGAAAAGTGAGAGACCATTTCCGAAGAGATTTCATTGTCACCCACAGAACCAAAGTGCATCTTTGAGTAAGAGCTATTTTGCAAATAGATGATAGATAGATAGATAGATAGATAGATAGATAGATAGATAGATAGAT